ACGTCCTATTTTAAACATTATCTTTGTATCGGAAAATATGCCTCTAATAAAGCTATTCTTGGTGAAACTGGGCGATTAAATATGTTCGTGTTTAGCAAAATAAGGGTACTTAAATACTGGTTGAGATTGCTACGTATGAATCCATGTCGATATCCAAAACAATGTTACAATCTACTTTAACAGTTAGATGATAATGATAAACACACCTGGGTGTCTGATGTAAGATATATTTTGTTTTCTTCAGGCTTTTCATTTGTATGGATCTCTCAACATATTAGCGAGGAAAATCTATTTTTACTAAAAATAAAACAAAGGCTGAGTGATATGTATTCTCAAGAGTGGCATGACTCTATTTCTTCAACAAAATATCTGTCACATTAGGCAAATTTGAAATCACTTTTACAGCCAGAATTTTGCATCAATAATCTCACGAATAAATCACTCAGGAGAGCATATTGTAAATTCAGAATATCGCTACACGGTTTTAGATTAACATGCTACGAAAGTCAAAACATACAAATGAAGACTTGAGTCTATATCTATGTACCCACTGTAAAGGGAGGCAATAAGAGGATGAATTTCATGTTTTGTTTATATGTTAAAAATATTCTTCTGTCAGAAACCACTATTTGCCTTGGTTATCGAATGTCCATCATGATAATCACAGTTTATGTAATCTACTCAACTCCAAAAATATCAACATTGTAAAGGCTTTGGCCTTATACTTAAATCATGTATTTAATGAGAAATAAGACTACTTCTATTTATTTTCCTGACATCACGTGACGCAGCAATTACTGTAATTGTAATTGTACTCTAGGCCACATGGCCCAAAATACTGAATAAAGAATCTTGAATCTTGAATCTTGAATCTTGAATCTTGATTGAAAAGTTCTGAGTCTCATTTGGAAGAAAATCTTCAGTTGTGGACAGTATACGATGCCACAGACTCGACTCAACTGGACAAACTGCATTGCGGTGACATGTCAGGACAAAAGGCTCTAGCCGGAAACTATTTTAACTCGAACAATAACGTCACAGCAGTTGTGGAGAACGTTATGGGCAGACAAAAGAAGGACCTCTACGAAAGCGGGATAAAATCACTTCAACATCGTTGGCAAAAGGGTATTACCAATTGATGTAGCTGCTAAAATGACCAAATTGAAACTGTTAAACATTTATTCTAGTAATTTAACAATTTGGGGTCCCCCTTGACCCGATTCGAAAATTGGTTAAACTGTAAACCCCGGGCTACAGTTGAACTAGGTGAGGTGGGGTGAAATGGGGTTTAACGTCGCGTCAAAGATTATTGCACTTATATAGCGACGTGCATGCACGTGTATGTGTGTGCGTGTGGCTGCTTTTACTAGTCCGGACTGATGCCGATTTATAGTGCTAGCTCACTGAGATACCATGCCGCAGTTTAACCTGAATACCCCACTCAGACACAGTATACTGACTCCGAGCCGACCAGTCCTTGTTTTAGCCCCTTAATCCCGAGCGCCAGACAGGGTAACAACAAGTACCATCTTTTAACGTCTTCTGGAATGACGCGGCTGGGGATCGAACCCCGGACCTTCCGCTCTCCGGGCGGACGCTCTACCATTAGACCACGGAGGCGGTCTATACAGTTGAACTAGATTAAAAGAGTGTACTCACACATTACCAACTTCTGATATTATGTGCAACATTAAAATTCAGACACAATATTAACATTCAGAAAAAAACACTTGAATTTGATTTCGTGCAGCAGGAGCTCACAATATACTATCTTTATGTTCAAGTCCCCAGCAAAACATGTATAGGTATAAGCACTGCAAACCATGTAAAAGTAAGAGAAAAAAGAATATAGGCTCGGAACTTATTAAACAAGCCTCGTATATAATACATCAATTAGAGTGTTCGTAATTCAGTTTCAATTCACGCGTATGTCTCTGCAGTTCAGTGTGATTCTATATTGTGAATTATTCATAACCCCATGGTAATTCCAGGATAAAATTGATGGTATCGGGTATTCAGTCACAAAGATGATTGTCACAAAAATAGTTCGTTATATCCGTCAGTTCGTTATAAGCGTGTTCGTTATAACCGTAGTTTACTGTACAGTAAACTACGGTTATAACGAACTCAAAGGGACTACTTTTTTTAGTTCGTTATAACCGTAGTTCGTTATAAGCATTTATACAGCATAACTACAGCAAATAGTCGGGACTAAAAAGTAAGTTCGTTATATCCGTCAGTTCGTTATAAGCGTGTTCGTTATAACCGTAGTTAACTGTATTTGCGAGTGCGTCTATAAACAACAAATAAACACCCGAATTGAATGTTGGTTTCACAAATCAATTTGAATCAAATGTGGCTTGAACTTTATCCAACAAATTGACTGTAGGGTGAGTTCCACACCATCCCTCTATATAGAGCATTAGGTGTCTACATGTCAGAACATTTGAGGTACAGCTGTTTGATGAAGGTTGCAACATTCAAGGCCTTATCAAAGCTTTCAAATGATTTATGGTAGACACGTGGAGAACATTTCCAAATTTGACTCTTCAGTGACAAACTGATGTAAAACTGATGCAATTCCTTATTTTAACTTGTAACGTCTGTTCGTGTGTTCGGGTGAATAATTGACTTACATTTGCATGTATTTGTGATGGCTATATTTTTCTACATGTATATATTAATATTTTCACAACTGCCTGTAAGTTTGTTCAATTGTTACCATGGTCACCTTGTTGATTCATATACACCCTCGCCATGTTTCCCGATAACTGTAGTTCCTGATAAAAATAGTATCTTTAAAACCAGTTCCTTTGTATCTTTGAGATCTTTAATAAGAACCTACCTTTCAAGTCTTAATGGAAAATGGTTGTGCATTTGATCAACCCAAAAGACATTAGTTCTGGATGGCCAGAGGAAAAAACCCGATGTCTTCTGAACGTACAGTACAAGTCACGCACAGCAGATGTTATTAGCAACTGACTGTCAATGGCTTAAAATTGAAAAAGATCTTTACAACAAATTGTTACCGAACAAAATACTGTGTATTGAGTGCACAACAAGGAATGATTCCATTTCTCAAATTGTCTTCTCAACAATCAGTTCATGCATCGTGCAGCCACTTGTGCATGCAGGACATCTAAGTCACTGTTATTTATGTATTCTTACGTTAACGAAGTACAATACTACATTATTCTTTTCTGATGACATTGTAAGAATCAATCCAGATGAAAATAATCTAATAGGGGGTCCGACTGACTTATTATCAGTGGTATATAATACATATGTAATGCATAGTTTTGTAATTGGGTTAGAGAACAGGACATAACGTTTGTTTAGGAAATTCTGAATATTACAGACGAAAGTACGAGCCGAGTTAATCGAAATCTCTACAAAACCCTTTGCAATGCGCTTACACAAGATCACGGTACATGTATGAACCATTGTTATTACCAACTTGGTTTTGTTAAGCGCTGTATTTGATACTATTATATAGTTGCTTGACTACACACACACTTGGGCTGCAATCTTTCCTATTTGAAATAACATCTGTGAAATTATTCTTTCATGCAATATGCATTCCAGACATATCTAATTTAATGATACGTTGCAACTGACATTGCAGAGATAACACAAATTGGATTTGTATGCGGGAAGAGTGAGTGAGTGAGTTGGGTTTAACGCCGCTTTTAACAGTATTACAGTTATATCACGGCGTGTCAGCTTAATGTGGGAGGAAAGCCCGAAGTGATGCAGGTCTCAGACGTTTACCACTTCGGTGAAACCCACGAGCACGGGTATGGTGCTGACAAACCTAGAAACATAATCGGGGCGAACCGGGATTCGAACCCAAAATCATAGGTTTCTGGCGTGCCTAAGGGACGCAACTCTGCACAGCGAATCGCGGCGCCTTAGACGACTGGGCCACCCGTGCCCCCGTATGCGGGAAGATTTGAAGATAAGACCAGGAAGAATGTGTTGGATGTCCACGTTTACATATGCTAATAAATACTACTCCAAAAAGGTTAATGACATGGCAGATTGACAATAGTAATAATATAATAATCGGGGGTTCTTTAACTTCTTTTGAGTAGTGTATATTCAAAATGACGCGCATTTCATCAAACCAAAAGACATTAGTTCTGGATGGCCAGAGAATAAAGACGATGTGTTCTGAACGTACAGTACAAGTCATGCACAGCAGATGTTGTTAGCAACTGACTGTCAATGGATTAAAGTTGAAATAAATCTTCACAACAATTTGTTACAAATTAAGTTGAATTGTGTGAATAATACTCGCCCGTCTAAACTGTCGGGTGTTACTGTTAGTAGATCCATCCTTTTGTTCTTATTTTGTGCTTTCCCATAGATAGGTTCCTGAATGAGTGGACACAAATCAATGGTATTATTTGGCCTTCGTCCTTTCTGGTGACCATGGCTGTGACGGCGTCTTTCGGATCACTAAAACAGACGCAATACAATTGGGAAATTTCATAAGAAACACATTCGTCATGGTCAGCTTATTAATACACAATGCATGGTACTACAATATCAGTTGCAATGCAGCATTGATTAACATGGAAATTGAATTTGAAGCAAGAATAAGCATTGCATTAATTATGTTGTCTGCAAAGAGTATGGGTGAATGCAACAAAAAATCAAAGAAACATCTTTTTTGTTATAACAAAACGTGCACTTACATACAAGTACTTGCTCTAAGTAGCTGTGCCTGCATCTTTGACTATGCAAAGATCAATGGGCTGTAATCAGTTAGGTTGAGTGGTTCCTCCTTTGTGTGACAGTTCATAGTCTTTTTGACTGGTTTTTCGATTAAGTGGTGCGCACCACGGGTGTTGTTCATGATATAGCATAGTCAATATTGCTAATGCTTGAGTACTAGATGGTAGTTTGGGCAATGTCTATACACATTTCAAAACGACATATGTGTTTCTATATAACAAAGGGCCGTCAAGTACTTCCACGTACATGTAAACAAACAAAACAAAAGACCATTGGACGCTCATTGGATGCTTTGTGTTGCAATTCTCCTAATCATTTTAGTTTGACTGAAACGTATACTCGTTGTTTCAAACACAAGTTAAATACATGTCAGATTCTTATACCAACATGCCCACCTTCAAAGGCTTGTCGAAAGTTGCTTTCTTGGGAATATCAGTATCTTCAAATGAAGATCTTTTTACAATATTTCAAAGTTCGATACTGAATCGATAAGTTTCCAGCCTCACGCAGAAGGAATTACGTAATAGTGAAATATATTGTTGTGGACATTGGAAGAATTTGATGTCACCACCAAAGAAGGCAAAGACTGTTCTGGGGTGCCATCGTGGTGGACTATCTTCCAAAAGGCCAGACAATAAGGAGAGCATATTATGCTGCGCTTTTCAGGTAATGACGTGATGGATTAAATACAAAGAGACATGGAAAGCTAAGACTTTGTGTGCTCTTCAATACGCAAGTGCGCAAATCAGTAATCAATCACCCTCTGGATGTTGTTATGTTTGTGATGAAACTGAGATTCATATCTAAAACATGAATCGTATTGTTTAGCTATAACCATGTCAAAAGCAGGTGCTTGCTTTATCTTGAATACTTCCAATGTTTACCACTGTTGTGATAGACTTGTCACAAAGTAATATTGATTTACAGTTAACTCTGAACAAAACCTCCCATTCACGACCTCAGTTCTGCATCCTTCAGAGACTCAGCGAACCTGGTGTATTGTGGCAAAGCTTTGATTATTCTGTGTATTACTTCCATGTGGATTCCTTTTGGATTGGACAACTGCTATCATCGTGCTGATATGATGACCAACAAAACCTTTCATCACTTTGGTCAATTGGGAATAATATACATTTGTTGTCAGATACTTTCGAGTATGGTACCAGTAACAAATACATGTATGCCGGATCTTCATTATGGAAAACACCTAGTGAGATCAACGTTTAAGATAATCGAGAAATCATCTCTGTTCTCCTGTGCCGCTGAATGTGTTTCATATGGAATATGCAAGTCCTTCAATTTTGGATTTGGGAGGAGAACGTGCCATCTAAATGTATTTGATGACCTCCAATATCTGGAAGATGGAGGGAAAGAGGATTTCATTTACAGTTCAATTATGAGTTGGAACAAGGTAAGATTACACTGGAACTACTTCTTCCTTACGATGTTGTGTCTAAATGGTGATATGATATTAGCTCAACTGGTGGTAAACAAGCAGATGTTTTCCAATGACGAAGTGTCGTCAGTTTGTTCTGCTTCTCTGTTTTAGTTGTTGGGGATCCTGCCAAATGTGCCAGTATAAAGAAATTAACAGCACAAACTTTGTTAAAAGAAGGTTTTTTGAATAAAAAAAATGCTTATCCTGGTCTAATTGATGCAGGTATATTGATGGATATGATCATAACGAAAAAATCATTTTGTGGTCCAAAATATCAGAAATATATTTGTGTGAAAATGTAGATGACTAGACATTATAGCTGGCATATGCATATTGTCATAATTTCATAAATGACTGCATAATTCTTATACTTGTCATATTTTATTCTATGCCACAGACAGCACTTGGTCCTTGTCATAACATCATGTGTGGATACACGCAGAGATGCAGTACTATGAGAAATGGCATCGTGCAGTGCGGTATGTACGTTAAATAACGATGAGTACATATTACATAAGAACAGTAATCTGCTTCGGCTGAAACTAGAAACCTAAAACCATATTATCCAACATTGTTCCATGTGAAAAATAGGGTTATGATTCATAATAAAGTTTTAGTGAAACTCTGAATACGCCGACACATAAAGACATGATAGACACGCCGCTTAAGCAATGTCCCTGCAGTTACTGACCACACAACGTCTTTATTAAACAGTAATTGTGCTTTTGGCTTTAAGTCATACCTTTTCATGCTCCCCGTAGTCTGTTACCTCTCCTTAAAATAGAAATCTGCACCATGTTGTCTAGTTTGGTTTCTTTACTTACAAATAAGCCAACATAATCTCAGTTTGATACTACAACACTTTTAAGCCTAATAGTTTATGTTTTCAACATATGTCACATAACCATGTCGTTCCTAAAGATGTTACCAACCATTAAATGTCACCGTTATTAGAACTGGGTTACCTTTCTTTTAGTGGAGGAACTTCTACCTAATATTGCGAAATATAAGCCAGCAAATGCAAGTTCAGTGTGGCATCCTGAAACGTTCCAGCCTAGTGTTGCAGTAGACGGTGATGTTACAGCGACATGGTCATCTGGATCCTGTTTTACTGTTGACAATGGGGATTTCTCACCCTGGTGGCAGGTGGACCTTCTGGACAAATACGTCGTTGTGGAAGTCCGTGTCACCAGTAGAGAAGACTGTTGTCGTACGATAAACAGTTCATTTGAGAGGATATTTGTTTTACGTTCAGTTTCTTTTGATGCACAAAACACATTATATATAACATATATTCATAAAAACTATTCACCTTTTATTGAAGTTCTAACATGTTTATTATTTGTCTGTCCATTGTGTTGTGACAGTATTATTGTTGTCAACACCTATCTATGTAATCCCACTCATGTATGCAATTGTTCTTACTGTTAATCCTCCACCTACTATATATATTCTCTACTATGTCCTTCTTTCAGTCTTGTTTGACAACGGCATAAGGATCTATACCGAAACGTCGCTTTTTACAGTATTAAAGAAGTTGTTATCCATAAAATTGTGTCTACCTTGTCATCCATCAACTTCTGAGTAATGCCTATAAAAAAAATTAACATTCATTTTCTAGGCTGAATTTAAAACAATTAAAAAGAAATGGTCCCCCCCCTAAGTGTGAAAATAATCGTGGGAACGTATTCTATAAGCTTCTGGTGTTCATTTGACATAATATTGATTTTTCAGCTGAACGACTTCACGACTTCGCCCTGGACGTGTATCAAGACGACCCTCTTGTCTACCCTAGTGGCAGTCCACAACTGTGTTACATGTACAATGGAGCCGTCACAGAGCGTGGCAAGACAGTTGCCATACAGTGTACTTCACCCTTGACTGGCCGTTACCTGAGACTTAGTGGACACAAAACGATTAACAGTCGTGATATTCTGCAGTTTTGTGAAGTCCAGGTCTTTGGCTTCAAGCTGTTACTATGGTACGTCTAACCTAAAGATTTCATATTCTTCTTCATTAGTGACTGTCTAAAGTAATTTACCACAAGATGGTGAGAGTCAGCTTTTTATCGGTCAACCAATCGGAACTTACTCACTGCAACGTACAAGTGTTATCGTACATTATTAATTGTCAATTGAAATTGTTGCTGATGTGTGCTTTGAGTGTATGTAGAAAGGGTAAAATTCGTGTCCACAAGGGAGAAGATGATTTCTTCGTTGGTGTGTTTGTTGGTTTGTTGTAAAACGCCACACTCAGCAATATTCCAGCTACATGACGGCGGTCTGTAAATAATCGAGTCTGGACCAGATAATCCAGTGACTGATAGCATGAGCACCGATCTACGCAATTGGGATCGATGACATGCAACAACCAAGTCAGCGAGCCACCACCCGATCCCTTTAGTCGCCTCTAACGACAATCACAGTCGCCCTTTACGGCAAGTATAAGTCGCTGAAGACCTATTCTACCCAGGATCTTCACGGGTTGTTTTCTTCAACCCCACTGTGTGAAATGACTAAACGTTTGTTAAATGCTATCACCTGGCTCGACCAAACGGGCACTGCTTGCACCTGGTCAAGGTCTACAGTTGTTGATATATTTACTGTATTTCTTGCAGAATACGTCGCTGTCGTTTGCCTGTTGAGAACCGTTCATTCGTACCACCAGTGATATTCCGCCAAGATGGATAAATATCTTAGGGGATTTATGGGTCTCAAGTGCTTGATACTGTGTTTGTGCAATCAGAGTCATTGGACGTGGTGTGTTCAAACTCGACAGATGAATTTGTTAGAAAGTAACTTTGCTGACTTTGATTGACTGTACTTTGTATTTCATTTTAAATGGAGTGTATGTGAAGGTTTAGTTGGACCAAATGCGTGTTGTTGTCTCCTTGTACGAGGGTTGATTGATAAGTTCTGAGCCTCAAATAGAAGGCAATCTCTAGCTGCGGACATTACATGATGTCAAAGAGGTGTATCCAGAAATACTTGAGTCAACTGAGCAAACTGTTTCACTGTGACATCTTAGCAGCTATGAAACTGGGATAAAATCCCTCCAACATCGTTGACAAAAGTGTATCAATGTTGAAGGTGATTCTTTTGAAAAATAATTGATTTTGATGTCTTTAGGTCAAGTGTTTCTGTGTGAGGATCAGAACTAATCAATCATCCGTCGTATGTAATACATTATTGAGTGTGTTCATCATATATTATCCAGTTTGAATTGACACGTATGTCTCTTCAGTTCAGTGTGAGTCTATATCATGAATTAATTATAACCCCAAGGAGATCCCGAGTTTTCAGTCCCGGTAACGTGATGGGTCGTGTCATCCTACCCAGATTGGTGGAATATTGACGATTGCGGCCATTAACTAGAAATACAAGGATTGTGTGCTGCTTTCACAAATCAATTTGATTCGTTGCTACTGTATTTTGACTGATCACATTGATACAAATGTGACTCGAAATACATTCTACAATTTGACTTACCGGAGATCCACACCATCCTTCGGAATAATATTGAAATAATTTAAACTTTTTGTATTTATCTGTTTGTATTCAACTTTTAATAACTTTTGCAGCCATTTTCCTCTTAGTGTTGATCCACATTTCTTTCAAAGTTGTGAATCTGAGCTGTTCATGCACGTGTTTAACACTTATTTATTAGAAATATACCCTTCCACAGTGTACTGTACAGTATCAACACAAAAGGCTGTACCTTGTCTCTGTAACATCTGACAGGAAATGCGTCAGAGTAATCTGTGCATGAATTTAGATTCTCACCTAGCATCACATAGTTCTGCACAATGCAGCCCCCTGTACGTTTCTTTGATAGTGACTTCAACTTTCCAATAGTCTACTTTACCGTTATGAGGAGCCTTTAATGTCTACATTTCAGAAGATTACAGGCAGTTTATATTTCACAACTGCCTGTAAGTCTGTACCATTGTTACCACGTCCACCTTGTTGTTTTATATATATCCACGCCATGCTTCCCCTGTAACTGTAGTTCCTGATTAAAATGGTATTTTAAAACCAATTATTTTGAATCATTCAGTTCTTTAAAAACAACCTCCCTTTCAGTTCTTAATGGAAGATGGTAGTACAATTACAGGTGTGAATAAACTGAACAAAAGATTGTGTATTGAGTGTAATGAGTTCAAATGAATAACAATGGTACCATATGTTCTGCTGATGGTCGAACGACGGGACAGTTGTCATTGGTATGTGAAACTTTAGAAGAAACTGAACAAAAGACTGCACTGAATGCACAACAAAGGAATAATTCCATTTCTCCTGTTGTCTCCTCAACAATAACTTTATATATTATGCAGCCACTTGCGTATGCAGGCAGACGAACCGACCATCTATTTATTTATTTATTTATTGTAGCGTGTAATGAATTCAAATGACGTATGCTGCAATATATTTTTCTAATGGCATTGTAATCTAATAGGTTCTCCGACTGACATTGGTATGTGATACTTAGATTGGGTTAGAGAACTGGACATAACGTTTTAAAAGGAAATTTTGAATATTTCAAACGAAAGTACGAATTGTGTACATAGTAAATCGAAATCTATACATAACCCTCTGTAATACGCTTAAACACGGCCACGGTACCTGTAACGTACGTAAAATTGTATAAGTATATGTAGTTACCTGCTTTGTTTTGTTAAAAATGTGTTTCAAAATATTGAATAGTTGCAATATTCTTGCATGTAATGTGCATTCCAGACACAGCTCATTTAATGCTGCGTTGCGTACATTTGATTTGTATGCAGGAACATATTAGTGAATTAGGAAGAACATACAGAATGTGTTTACTCGTGAGTAATTTTGAATATATGCTTCTCAAAAAATGTTTATGGCATGGCTAATTAACAATGTTAATAATATAATAATCGGGGTGTTCTTTAACTTCTTTTGTGTACTATATCTTGAAAATGACGCCCATCAACCAAAAAGAAATTAGTTCTTGATGGCCAGAAAATACAGACATGTCCTCTGAACGTGTGTTTTAAGTCATGCACAACAGGTGTTGTAAGCAACTGTTTGATCGTTGTTTGTTATTTAACGCCACACTCGGCACTATTCCAGCTGTAAATAATCGAGTGTTGACCAGACAATCCAATGACTGACATCATGAACATCGATCTACGCAATTGGGATACGATGACATGCATCAACCAAGTAAGTGGGCCTGATCACCTGATCCCGTTAGTCGCCTCTTACGACAAGCAAAGTCGCGTTTTACGGCAAGCAAAGGTTTCTGAAGACCTATTTTAATTCCGATCTGCCCGGGTTGTTAGCAACTGACTGTAAACGGATTAAAATTATTTATTTTTTTATAAATTATTACAAACAAAGTTGAATTTATACTCTCTTGTCTATACTGGGGGCTGCGACCGTTTGTTTATCCATTCATTTGCAAAAGGCAGCCGGACACAGAATATAACAACACAGAATATAATCTCGTTCTTATTTTGTGCAGTCCGAGTGGTATCTAAATGTGGGAAACAAATCTTCCAAATCAATAGTATTATTTGGCCTTCGTCCTCTCTTGTGACCATGGCTGTGACGGCGTCTATCGGATGCCGAAAACAGGCGCAATACCGTTGGGAACATTTCTGTTGGAAACACATTCCTCATGGTCAGCTTATTAATCCACAATTAAATTCCACAGCCCAAATGCATTGTACTACAATATCAGTTGCAATGCAGCATTGAATAACATAAAAATTGAATTTGAAGCAAGAATAAGCATTGCACTAATGATGTTGTCCGCTGGGAGTATGGTCGAATGCAACCAAACATCAGACAAACATCGTTTTTATCGTAACAAAACGTGTACTTACATGCAAGTACTTACTCTAAGTAGCTGTGGCTGTATCTTTGACTATGCAAAGATCAATAGGCTGTAACCAGTTAGGTTGAGTGGTTCCTCCTTTGTTGTGGGACAGTTCATAGTCTTTTTGACTGGTTTTTCGATTAAGTGGTGCGCACCACGGGTGTTGTTTATGATACATCATAGTCAATATTGCTAATGCTTGAGCACTAGATGGTGGTTTGGGCAATGTCTAAACACATTTCAGAACGGCATATGTGTTTCTATATAACAAAAGACCATTGGACGCTCATTGGATGCTTTGTGTTGCAATTCTCCTAATCATTTTAGTTTGACTGAAACGTATACTCGTTGTTAAAAAACAAGTTATATACATGTCAGATTCTTATACCAACATGCCCACCTTCAAAGGCTTGTCGAAAATTGCTTTCTTGGGAATATCAGTATCTTCAAATGAAGATCACTTTACAATATTTAAAAGTTCGATACTAAATCGATAAGTTTCCAGCCTCACGCAGAAGGAATTACGTAATAGTTAAAAATATTGTTTTGGACATTGGAAGATTTTGATGTCACCACCAAAGAAGGCAAAGACTGTTCTGGGGTGCCATCGTGGTGGACTATCTTCCAAAAGGCCAGACAATAAGGAGAGCATATTATGCTGCGCTTTTCAGGTAATGACGTGATGGATTAAAGACAAAGAGACATGGAAAGCTAAGAAATTTTGTGCTCTTCAATACGCAAGTGCGCAAATCAGTAATCAATCACCCCCTGGGTGTTGTTATGTTTGTGATGAAACTGAGATTCATATTTACTTGTACAGTACTATTGAGAAACCAGTTAACAATTAATGTGACTGGACAACAATCGGTCTGTTCAAATAATTCTTCCTCAGCAGGAATCGTATTGTTTAGCTATAACCATGGCAACAGCAGGCGCTTGCTTTATCTTGAATACTCCCAATGTTTACCACTGTTGTCATAAACCTGTCACCAAACATATTGATTTACTATGTTGATGTAATATTTATATTTTAAATATATTCAAACATCACATTTAACTCTGAACAAAACCTCCCATTCACGACCTCAGTTCTGCATTCCTCAGAAACTCAGCGAACTTGGTGTAGTGTGTCGAAACTTTGATTATTCTTTGTATTACTTCCATGTGGATTCCTTCAGTCACATTTTAGTTTGGACAACTGCTATCATCGTGCTGATATGATGACCAACAAAACCTTTCATCACTTTGGTCAATTGGGAATAATATACATTTGTTGTCAGATACTTTCGAGTATGGTACCAGTAACAAATACATGTATGCCGGATCTTCATTATAGAAAACACCTAGTGGGATCAACGTTTAAGATTATCGAGAAATCATCTCTGTTCTCCTGTGCCGCTGAATGTGTTTCATATGGAATATGCAAGTCCTTCAATTTTGGATTTGGGCGGAGAGTGTGCCATCTAAATGTATTTGAGGACCTCCAATATCTGGAAGGTGGAGGGAAAGAGGATTTCATTTACAGTTCAATTATGAGTTGGAACAAGGTAAGATTACACTTGAACTACTTCTTCCTTACGATGTTGTGTCTAAATGGTGATATGATATTAGTTCAACTGGTGGTAAACAAGCAGATGTTTTCCAATGACGAAGTGTCGTCAGTTTGTTCTGCTTCTCTGTTTTAGTTGTTGGGGAGTAACTTAAATAAATTTCCTGCAAAATGTGCCAGTATAAAGAAATTAATAGCACAAACTTTGTTAAATAAAAAGACTTATGCTGGTCCAATAGGTATATTGATGAATATGATCATAACGATAAAATCATTTTGTGGTTTGGAAATCTATATCAGAAATATATTTGTGTGAAAATATAGATGACTTGACATTATAGCTGGCATATGCATATTGTCATAATTTCATATATGACTGCATAATTCTTATACTTGTCATATTTTATTCTATGCCACAGACAGCACTTGGTCCTTGTCATAACATCCTGTGTGGCTACACGCAAAGATGCAGTACTAAGAGAAATGGCACCGTACAGTGCGGTATGTACGTTAAATAACGATGAGTACATATTACATAAGAACAGTAATCTGTTTCGGCTGAAACTAGACACTTAAGACCAAATTATCGTACATTGTATCATATGAAAAATAGGGTTATGATTCATAAAATAGTTTCAGTGAAAATCTAAATACGCCGACACATAAAGACATGATAGACACGCCGGCAAAGCAATGTGCATGCACTAACTGACTGCACAACGTCTTTATTAAACAGTAATTGTGCTGTTGGCTTAAGTTAAAGTCATATCGTTTCATGCTTCCTTTAGTCTGTTACCGCTCTTTAATGCAGGGGGGCGGTCGGGTAGCCTAGTGGTTAAAGCGTTCGCTCGTCACGCCGAAGACCCGGGTTCGATTCCCGACATGGGTACAATGTGTGAAGCCCATTTCTGGTGACCCCCGCCGTGATATTGCTGGAATATTGCTAAAAGCGGCGTAAAACCATACTCACTCACTCACTCACTTACTTTAATGCAGAAATCTGCCCCATGTTATCTCGTTTGGTTTCTTTACTTACAAATAACCTAACATAATCTCAGTTCTGTTTGATACTACAACACTTTTAAGCCTAATAGTTTTATGTTTTGTTTTCCACATATGTCACATAACCTTGTCGGTCCTAAAGATGTTACCAACCATTACATGCCAATGTTATGAGAACTGCGTTTCTTTTCTTTAAGGGGAGGAAATTCTGCAAAATTTGGCGAAAGATAAGCCAGCAAATGCAAGTTCTATGTGGCGACATGACATGTTCCAGCCCAGTGTTGCAGTAGACGGTGATGTTACAGCGACATGGTCATCTGGATCATGTTTTGCTGTTGACAGTGGTGATTTCTCACCCTGGTGGCAGGTTGACCTTCTGAACTCATGCGTCGTTGTGGAAGTCCGTGTCACCAGTAGAGAAGACTGTTGTCGTACGATAAACGTTTCCCTTCTCATTTGACACGAAATTGGTTAAAACAAATCTTTCGGCGCATAAAACACATTACATATAACACTTGAATATTTTCATAAAAAACTATTCATCTTTTACTGAAGTTGTTACATGTTTATTATTTGGATTATTAGATACAGTAACACCATCATAGCA